GCAATGCCTTTATTTTTCCCTCCTTCTCTGCTTTCTTTTTCTCTCTCCCCTTTTCCTACAAGTTTCTGGGGATGCTCTTTTTTTTTCAGCTTCTCCCTCATGCTTTAGGCCCATCAGTGCAATGCAGCAGAAATGAGAGATGAGTCCAAAAAGGGAGAGAGCCATCCGATTTGCCTTCAATACAACAAGACCACAGCAGGATTTAAGACAGGCTATTAAACATCTGAAAATCAATGAATGTAAACCACTATATTGAAAGATAGAGAAGATCAATCACATGCTCAACTTGGAAAAAACACCCTACGAAGTTCAATGTCGATTCATGATAAAAGCTCCCAGAAAAAAAAGTAATAGAGGGGAATGCCCTCAACTTGATAAAGAACATCTACAAATGTCCTCTAGCTCACACACTTCATAGTGAAAGACTGAATGCTTTCTCCCTACAATGAGGAACGTGGCAACTCCAACATAGTAATGACAGTTCTAGCCACTGCAATAAGGCAAGAAAATGAAATAAAAGCCATCAGATTGGAAAGGAAAAAAATAACACTGTCCCTATTTGCAGATTACATAATTGTCTACATAGAAAATCCTAAGGAATCTAAAAACAACCAAAATCTCCTAGAACTAACAAGTGAACTCAGCAAAGCTTCAGGATACAAGGTCAACACATTAAAAAAGTAATCTCCTTACTATGAACAATGAACATGCAGAAAGTAATATTTAAAACACAATGCTATCTCCAGTTTCTCCAAAGAAAATGAAATACTTTAATATATCACTACTGAAAAGGAGTCACTCCCCATTCCCTTCTCCCTACAATCCCTGCAACAACTCATCTACTTTCTGTCTCTGTAGATTTCCCTGTTCTGGAAATATGGCTGAATAATATTCCATTGGATGGCTAGACCACATTTTGTTTATCCGTTCATTAGTTGAAGAACATTTGAGTTATTAACACTTTTGGCTATTATGAATAATACTGCTATCAAAATTCATACATGAGTTTTTTGTGTGAAGATATGCCTTTAATTCTCTTGTGTATATATCTAGAGGTAGAACTGCTGGGTCATATGATAATTCTATGGTTAACTTTTTGAGGAACTGACAAACTGTCTCCCATAAAGGCTGCACCATTTTACATTCCCACCAAAAGTAGATGAAATTTCAAATTTCTCCACATCCTCGCCAACACTTTTTTGTTATCTTTTTTATTCCAGCCATCCTACTTTACACATGTTTATACATCATAGAGTGTGAAGTGCTATCTCAGTGTGACCTTAATTTGCATTTCCCTAATAGCTAATACTGTTGAGCATCTTTTCATGTGCTTATTGGCCATTAGTATATCTTCTTTGGAGAAATGGCTATTCAGCTCCTTTGCCCATTTTAAATCACTATTTGTCATTTTGTTGTTTAATTATAAGAGTTATTTATATATTCTGGATATTAGGCCCTTATCAGATGTGAATTGCAAATGCTTTTCCCATTCTGTGGGTTGTCTTTTCATTTTCTTGATAATGTCCTTTGATTCATGGAAGTTTTAGTTTTGATGAAGTCCACTTTACCTATTTTTTTATTGTTGTTGTACTTTTGATTCATCAGGTTGAGGAAGTTCCCTTCCATTTCTAGTTTGTTGGGTGCTTATTATTTTAAGTGTTGAATTTTGTCAAAGCTTTTTCTGCATCTATTGAGATGATCCTGTGGGTTTTATATTCTGTATTCTATTAATACAGTGTATTACATAAATGGATTTTCATACATTGAACCAACCTGAATTCCTGGAATAAATCCCACTATGTAGTTTATGGTGTATAATCGTTTTTTACATGTTGCTGAATTCAGTTTTTCTATAATAGTATTTTGCTGAAAAGTCTTGCATTTATATTCATATGGGATATTGGTCTGTAGTTTTCTTGTGATACCTTTGTCTGGTTTTGATATTAGGGTAATACTGGTCTAGAATGAGTTGAAAAATACTCCTTTCTCTTTTAATATTTTGAAGAGCTTGTGAAAGATTGGTATTAATTCTTCTTTAGCATTTGACATAGTTTACCAATGACATTTTGTATTTCTGGGCTTTTCTTTGTAGAAAGATTTTTATTACTAATTCAAAGTATCTACTTATTATAGCTCATTCAAATTTTCCTTTTCTTCTTTAGTCTTTCTAGGAATTTCTTCATTTCACACAGGTTATTTAATTTGTTGGCATATAATTAATCACAGTATTCCCTCATAATCCTTATTATTTCTGGAGGTTGGTGGTCATGTCCCCTCTTTCACTCCTGATTCTAGTAATTTCAGTTCTCCCTTTTTATCTAGGTCAATCAAGTTATACTTTTGGCAAATTTCTTTATCTTTTCAAAAAACCAATTTTGGTTTTGTTAACTTTCTCTATTATTCTTCTATTTTCTATTTAATTGATTTGCTCCTCTTTTTTTACTGTGCTTGCTTTAGTTTTATTTGGTTCTTCTTTTCTGATTTTCTTAATGTATACATTTTCCTTAATGTATAAAGCCTAAGACCAGCCTGGTCAAAATAGCAAGACCTCATCTCTACAAAAAAATTTTAAAATTAGCAGGTTATTGACTTGGGATCTTTCATTTTAATGTAGGCATTTATAGCTATAAATTTCTCAGTAAGCACTGCTTTTGCTGCACCCCATAAGTTTGGCATGTAGTGTTTTTATTTTCAATCACATTAAAATATTTTTTAATTTCTCTTGTGATTCCTTTTTGAGTATTTAGGAGTGAATTGTTAAATGTCCACACATCTGTAAATTACCCAAATTACTTTCTGTTACTGATTTCTAATTTTAGAATTTAGAAAAAATGATCAAAGAACATATTTTGGGCTGGGCGCGGTGGCTCATGCCTATAATCCCAGCACTTCAGGAGGCCGAGGCGGGCGGATCACGAGATCGGGAGATCAAGACCATCCTGGCCAACACCGTGAAACCGCGTCTCTACTAAATACATAAAAAATTAGCCAGGCATGGTGGCGGGCGCCTGTAGTCCCAGCTACTTGGGAGGCTGAGGCAAGAGAATGGTGTGAACCTGGGAGGCAGAGCTTGCAGTGAACTGAAATCGTGCCACTGCACTCCAGCCTGGACAACAGAGCTAGACTTCATCTCAGAAAAAAACAAAAACAAAAAGAAAATAAAAACAAAAACAAAACAACAAACAAAAAAAAACTACACGAAAGATGAAATATGAATGAATGGTAAACATATAAAAAGATACTCGGGACGCTGAGGCAGGTGGATCACCTGTGGTCAGGAGTTCAAGACCAGCCTGGCCAACATGGTGAAACCCTGTCTCTACTAAAAATACAAAAATTAGCCAGGTGTGGTGGCAGGTACCTGTAATC